TATGATGCAGTTTCATTGGCTTTGGCTCGCGCCCAGAATGACCAAAGCCTCTTCCTTGGAGCATGGCAGCGGCTTCGGGTCCTCAAAACATAACAGCAGCAGCACGTCCAAATCCTCATCCATTCCACATACTATGCTTTATCAAGTTGCTCCTGCTTGCCAATATCACTTTTATGCACCTCACGCCATTTTAGCATGCCAGCGCAACCATAATGGAGTGAAGCCAAGCAAACGGTTGCCGAAGCATCCTCAACCAGCTCTCGACACTGGCGACCTCGTCATCTCATTTCATTTTCTTCCACACCGATCACCTCCTTGCAGCTGCGATTCCATTCCGACCTCAGCGTTACTGCCTGATTCTTGATTATGTCGTCACGCCGCAGTAGCTTTTGCTCACGCACCCAACGAATTGTTGAACTTCAATTCGTCTGCCAACTCGTCCCTATTTTTTCATCACATCGCCTCCACTTCTTTGTCGGCAGGACCTGCAAGCGTCGACCGCCTTCTCCGTCTCCTCTCCGGATCCCACTCCACCATCAGATCACAGCGCTGTAGAGTTAACTGGAAGACGGCTCTGACTAAATGATAACACTGAATTTATGGCGTTATTTCGCTACTTAAGTACTCTTAGAGTTGCGAAGTTTGCCGTTGGTTTGATTGCATATTTGATTGTTTTCGTGGAACTCTTACATATTCAGTTTAAAAAAATGGCAGAATATGCATACTTCGAAAAATTGGTGGGCATCAGGAAAAATTAGCATGACTATGCATTGCGGTACGGTTGCTACACGCGTCCAAATCGGTCGGTGCCCAAACGAAACATAAAGAATTTAACTGCAGTTTGATCACTACCAGACCAGCTCACGAAAAGCATCTTTGGCCTGCTTTGTCGGTAATCTGGGCTTGCTTTGTTGTGAACTAAAAAATTCAGCTTTGCCGTTGTCCTACGATCGCAACTGAAACAGTGCTAAAACGGTGCAGTGCTAATTAGTAATCGTGGATTACCAGTTAAGTGACGGCTAAAATGGAAAGTCGGTCAAGAAATTAGAATGAATCGTAGACTCAAAAGGCGTGAGAATCAAGAACGAACCAATCGATTCCCGCCCTACACAACCACACTTAGAAGGAATTTGAATTTTCTATTTTCTGCTTTGGATTTACAAAATTATCCCAGATTTGATCCGAAATAATATATTGGAACAGCACAAGGTTTGGGAGGGCCGAATTGTTACTGAATTTTGAAAAAAATCCCTCATCATTACACCTTGCAATTGACTGCTAAAATCTACCGTCTCTAAATTCTTTGATTCTCCGTTGCGGGAAATTATCCCCAATTTCGATAGGAAGTATAGGTTAAGGCACAGTTCTAAAACTTATGTTAGTTATCTGTGTGCAGTTCTGAACGATCTGATTGCGTTTTTCCCGGTTGTGTTGAAAAATTTGTCTAAATTTGAACCTGAAATGGCAGGTCTAGTTTCAAAGACAGATCAACATTGACTGTAGGTTCCTGATTTTGCATACAACTTGAGATTCTGTTTCCCAAAATTCAAGCTTTCCTGTTTTC